ATAATAGATAATTTCAAATTTAAATTTTGAAAAAATAAGGGATATTATTCCAATTGATTCTTTCATGTTATATTCATATTAATTCAAGTATTAAGAAAAATATTTTAAAACAAGTATAGTAAATTGTCAAGTATATCACTTGTTATTATGAATGAAATACGTTTAAAATTTTACTTGCGAATGTTAAATTTACAAGTATTTATTATTTATATCATTATCTGAAAATATAAACAACAATAGTAAATTCGCACTATACGAGGTATATAGTGCGAATTTACTATAGTCCGGTTTAAATATAAAAGTAAAATATATTCTAAAAAAAAATACTACTTACAATTATTATTATTTTGTACATAAATGATCAGTTTTGTTTAAATTTGGCTGGTTTATTTAGTTCCTCGATTAGTCCGGTTTCAAACAATCCGGAGTATCCGCAGTATGCGATGTAATGCTGTATTTGTACTTTACACTACATCAATATTAGAGGAGAAATAAAAATACTTGTATTTGCAAAATAGAATTGGACAAGTAAAAGTATTTGTACAAAATTTAGTGAATATCTTCTTTTATAACATAAATAAAATTCCTCCACTTTTTAACTATTAAGGAAAATATTTTAATACTAGGAAAGTGAATTCATTACTTTGTACTTGCCAAGTATGTCACTCGTTAATATGAAATACGTTTACAATTTTACTTGCGATTGTTAAACTTACAAGTATTTATTATTTACATCAATATCCAAAAATATAAACAAATACCTTGCATTGTACGGATTCACTACAGTCCGGATTGAAAATTTAATACAAAATTAAGTGATTAAAACGAAAATATATTCTAAAAAACACTGCATAGAATTAATATTTTTTGTATATAAATGATCAGTTTTGTTTCAATTTGTGCGGTTTATTTAGTTCCTCGATTAATCCGGTTTCAAACAGTCCGGAGTATTGGTGGAAGGGAGTATCCGGACTATAGGAGGTAATGCTGTATTTGTACTTTACACTACTTCAATATTATAGGATGATCCGTTTTGTGTACATTTGTGCGGTTTATTTAGTACCTCGATTAGCCCGGTTTCAAACAGTCCGGGGTATTGGTGGAAGGGAGTATCTGCACTATACGAAGCAATGCTGTATTTGTACTTTACAAATACTTGTACTTGCTAAAAATAATTGGACAAGTAAAAGTATTTATATTTTTATGCTACATGCACAATTTAGTACCTTTATACGTTACCTTTGTATGTTTATACCTAAATATAAATAAAAAAAACTCGCATATGTTAATGAAATACAGAAATGATTTACACAGAAATTAATCTTCTTCCAGACAAGATTTATACTTTTTATAAATTACCAAATACATTTACAAGTTACTGGTAAAGTATTACGTAGTAAGTAAAAAAATGAAAACGTATATAAATACAAGATTTAGTTACTTTTATGGTGTGCAAATAAAACCGGCGGCGATTTGGAAATTTTAGCTCCTTATTTCGGTAGACAAGTTCAGACCTCCTGGCTAGACAGGACCGTCTTTATGTGGGATATTATTCTGTTATGGGTCTTTAATTGCTACACAGCTTTAAAACCTTTTAGCACTGCAGTTTATGAAGCATCCGACAAATTACCGCTATGTCTGAAGACTTGACAATTCTAGAAGAAATAATGGTTATATTGCATCCATTTGTTAAGATTTCATTACTTTACGATCTTAAATACCATTAAAAGACGCTTGTATCAATATTATATTAATTAGAATAAATTAATTCAACATCATTAGTACATAATATAAAGTGTCATAAAAGAAGCGTTACTAATTTAATTTTACTTAAAAATTAAACAATATATAAATATTTGTCTACATCAATTATTTCACCAATATTCCTAGTTGTCTATGTCGAAATCCCGACAGTATTAAAGTCCGGAACATTTTAGCGGTTTTGGCTTGACTTTTTCAATGCACCATATTTAGTTGTAAAATTTGTTTGCTTTCTAACAATAAACATTCGAGCGTAGAATTGTTGAATTGATCTATAATTTACATACATAAGGTACTCAGTTATGAATTGAGAGCAACTCCTCCCGGTTTCTCTATTTTACCATTAAATGTTTACTCGCACAAAATTTATTACTTTGTGATGGAATTATTTCACAAATATTAATTTTTGCAAATCTAGATGAATATAAGGGATAATTAACTACAGGATTTTTTCGTATTATTTATGAACTAATATTTACATAATAATAATTACAATTTATAATTGAAAACCTAGGAAAAACTCAAGCAAATAACTGGAGAAACTTGTTTAATATTTTAAATTTTATATATATTTTTGCAATTGAAACATACATTCTCAAGAACCAGTTATATTTCTTTATAGACTTAATAAAGTATAGAGACGAAACAAAAAAAATATTCACATCTTCGTATATAATTTTAAATTAAGATATTCATGTAAATAAAACACAATGCATTTATTATTCCATCTCTGACTGTTCTCCGTTCCAAGGTAGCAATTAATTTTATTTAAATACATTATTAATTGCTTGGAGCGAACAACATCTGCGCGTGGAAATATTATTTTTTAATTCGCCATATTCATTATAATCATATTTTTTTTTTCTTAGACTTCGAAGTAAATTGTTTCTTAATTACTTTATATCTGATTAACGTGTCTGTTAATACAGTGGACCGATTCATTTGCGTGCCTACGCACTTGATTTGTTTTTAAGTTCTTTGCGAACGCGGTTTGGATTAATTTCAAATTTAATAACGCTCAAGGGCAGAGAAAGAGAAAAAAACCTCGTCGGTAATCAGCGAAAAGTTTAAAAGGAAAGCAAAAAAAATACGGTTATAATATTTCATATCCAACTTCATTAATATGAGTGAAAAAATAAAAATTTACGTAATTAAATACATTTTTATTTTTTACAATATTTTTTCAAATTTAATTTTTTGCTATTTCTTTTTCAATAAATTTATTTGAATATCAATTATAATCTACTTTAATTACTGGTATTTATTATATAATTACATTAATACCTCGCATAGTACGGCTTCGATCAGTCCGATTTCAAAATTTCAAATCAACAAAATTTTTTTGCTTCCTCGATTAGTCCGGTTTTAAAGAGTTCGAGATATTGGCAGAACAAATTTACTGCATTATGCAAACTATTGATGTATTTACATAGAATCTATTATAATTATTAATATTTATTATATATTTACATTAATACCTCGCATTTTTTCTGAATTCTCGATTAGTCCGGTTTTAAAGAGTTCGAGATTCTGCCAGAATAAATTAACGCCATTATGCAAACTATTGACGTATTTACATAGAATGAAGACAGTTTTTATTTTGTTTCGTTCCTCGATTAGTCCGGTTTCAAATAGTTCATGATATTGGCAGAACAAAGTTTTATAGAATCAATAACAAAAATTATTAATAATTGTCCTTATATATATTTTTTTTTTGTATTCTATATAGATGTTGCAATAAATATTATTATTGTCATACAAATTGTCATAAAAGAAGCGTTACCATTTTGATTAGTCATATTTTGTCTTTATTTTGAGTTTATATCAATGTGTGTTAATTAATCAAAAACAATAGATTGTATATATTTATTTTTTCAATAATTTATGTTTAGTATCAAAGATCTTAATAAATCGGCAAGAAATTATTAAATTTAAATATTGTTACTTTTCAGAATAATAATTTCCTGAAAAAGATCCGTTTTTCAGATTTAATACACATTAGTTAAAATTTAATTGAAGCATAGATAGATTTATATGTAAACTACAGTTAAAATGTTATGCGAAGTTATCTACTTAAAGGTCAAGCAATGAACTTGTAATAATGTTTTCCCTCTAGTATCAAAATAATATTAAATATGAAATATTTATTTGCAACAAAAAATAATTTGTTTTTAGTGAAATTCAATGCAAGATATTAGTCTAATCAAATGCATCTTATGTGATGTTAATTTTGTTTGAAAATATTGACTTAAAACATAAGTGTTTTATATAAGTTTGTCACTTATAAATAAAATGTATACGATAAAGTGATTTCCGTCAATTTGATGAATGATGTCACGATATAAATATATAATATTATGATTGATGTAATAAAAGAGTAATTTAACAAATGATGTATTGTTACTAAGGGAACTAAATAGAACATTAATGACAGTTCAAGTTTATAAAATATATTCAAAATGAATATAGTAAAACATGAAGAAGTTTTGCTGAAGACTTGAGATAATTAACAATATTGTAAGGTCAGATTAATATAAATTTTTAAAAACTATTAAATTTGAAACATAATAATGATGTACTAATTAAGAACAAGTGACAAACAGTTTGAAGTTCCAGATGTTTGTATTTGATTGGTGTAGGATTTCCGAAATAGGAGATTCTGTATAAACGGGATGCGTTTAAAATGCAGTGGGATTAAAATATGTATGAGGCGCCGATGGATCAATTGATGGCATGGGATAATATGCAATCCGCCGATGTGGATGTTGAAGGAATTTGTAGTTGTGAGACGGAAGAAGACGTGTTTTATAATTGAGGAAGTCGGGAATGAAGAAGAAGAAGAAAAAAATTGGTAGTTCTCGTCTACCAATTTGGAATCACGCAACAGATTGGTCTCGTAGCGAGGCGTGTAATCGTAATCCTCGATACACAAAGGACGACTACGAAGAGCGAGCCGCGACTACTCTCCTGATCCCGCTGTTCCCCGACGAATGGTAATTGGATTAGAAATTTTTCCGTGCTCGGGTGGTGTGTATGAGTGTGTGTGTGTGTGCATCAATTCATTGCTTCGGTAGATTGAGCATCTTTAAGGGCGGCGGTAGGGCCAAAAAGGGAGATCGGTTTAGGGCCGTTCGTGTAACCGAATTCGGGAGGTTTCGGCCTTTCCGACGACGGCGACGCTCGGCACGTCGCGCTGCCGCTCTCCATGGCAGAACCATCGCCGTCGCATCCTCAGTTTGCTGCCGCCATCCGTTGGTGGTGGTTGTTGGTCTATCGTGTGAAGAAGAAGCAAGAGACACGCGCGATTCGTTAGATACAACTTGCGTTTGCCAAAAATAAAATAATTCTAAAGTCTGCAGTGGATGTTCGTGTTTTATTTTTTCTATTGACCCTAAGAAGCAGATCATGGTATCAGCTACATAGGGTTCGATTGCAGATTTTAGAGAAGTGGCAATCCCATAGTTCAATTTGAAGATCGCGCGCGCGGATGAAATCTCTTGATCGCGATGTTTTTGGAAGTGTTCCTGGTTTGTTGCGGTTTGTCGCAGTTCGCGAGTGGTGGAGTGGTTAATGTCAGAGAAGTGACGGAAGGGCCTCCGGTGCTGAGGTACGAAGCTCCGGATGATTGCCAGTGGTGGGTCAGGGAGCCGGCAGCCGTCGGAGGACAAGACGAGGTTGCCCTCACGTGCAAATTGAGGACGATCAACAGCGAATTCGATACGACCAATTTCAGCGTTATCCCTTCGGAGCACACGACGTCCCTTCGCATCGAATGTAGCGATGTTATAATGTCCCGCAGTAGTCTGGACGATCGCAGCTTCGTCCATCTGAACAAGCTTAGAGAATTGGAGTTGGAGCACTGCAAATTGGGAAGGTGGCCCGCTCACACCCTTCTGGGTCTTCGCGATTTGAGGAATCTCACGATCAAAACTCACAACACCGAATGGCCTGAGATGAGCTTAGATTTTGCTCCGGAAAGCTTCGTTCCTGTTAGACAGCTCGAACGCCTCGACGTGAGTTGCAACAACATTTGGTCGTTCCCGGAGAACATCTTTTGCCCTCTCATGAATCTAGTCGTACTGAACGTTAGCGAAAATAGGCTTCAGGACGTAAACGATTTAGGTTTCCGCGAGAAGTCGCCGAGTCAACCTCAACCTTTAATAAGCACCGTGGATGAGGACCATCTCCGACACGAATCCCGAACTCTGGCTCATCCGTGCAGTTTGGATGTCCAGGTTCTGGATGCGTCTCACAACCATTTCGTTTTGATCCCAGCGAACGGTTTTGGAGTTCTGAGACGTCTTCGAGAACTTTATTTGCACAACAACGAAATTTCACTCGTCACCGATCGCGCTTTAGACGGTCTCAAAGCTTTGCAGATCTTCGACCTGTCTAACAACAAAGTCGTCGCTCTCCCTTCAGAACTCTTCAAAGACGCCGCTGCCTCTATAAAGGAGATCTATCTGCAGAACAATTCGATCAGCATGCTCGCCCCGGGCCTCTTCTCTAAACTGGATCAACTCTTGGCCCTCGACCTTTCACGAAACTACCTCAAAGGTACGTAGAGTTTAAAACACACTCCATCAAAAGCTAAAAACATCAAATACGTAAAATCATTGTAGTATAACAAAAATTTACCAATTTTATTATTACTTTACAAAACCTTACATCACTTGCAAATAACCAAATTAAAAGTCACAAGAAACATCACTTCTAAAATAAAACACATCAATCAACCACAAAAAATAAATATGTATCTTGTATCACAAACTACAACACATACGATCTTTATTCATGTTTTCTTTTACGACTCCATTTCTGCTTCCTTTTGGAGCTTATCGACCACAATATTTACGATCGAACCATACAATGTTTATAAGTTTGTTATGTGACTCAATAAACATCGGACTGCAACTACAATCAGACCTACAAATTGTACGAAACTAAGACTTTGTTCGACTTGATTTCATGTTCTCACCTCGATATAAATTGCAAAATTTTCTAGCAATTATATAACTTTATTCTTAGCTCATTTGTCCGAACAATTAAATTTATTTGTGTGAACATCATTGTTTGTGTTATGAAATTTAAGATTTATGAGGATAATAAGTTAATGGAAAACGAGGTGATCTTTAAATAACTTGTAGGTCATATTTTTTTCGCCGTGAACTGGGCCGCGGGATTTTATAATAAAACCTTGCACGTCTATAGCATCCATAGAAAACACCAGAAGTGTCAAGCACACGTGCATGTAGGAATCCCATAAAAACCGAAGAAATAGCGGAAAAATATGCATCCAATTTGCGGAGTCCTAGTTTCCAAACATACGAAATAAATGAAATGTGCAAGAGTTTTGAAAAATTATTTTTCAAGTTGAAAATTTATGAAATACTTACAATAATATTAATAATTGAATTTTCATGAATTTTCGTATTTGATGTTAGAATTTGTTATTTTCGTACAAAAATATTATTTTTTTTCAATAAAAATGTTATTGTGTTAAACTCATCCAAGTTATATCTTTTAGGCAGATTGCTTAACTTTCATGAGCTGTCAAATGTTCGAAATATTATAAGAAACATAAAGTTATCGCATTAGTAGCAAAACTTCTTCGAGTATCAAACAAAGATCATTTATAAGAAGCACGTCGTTCCGAAAAGAAAACATAAATCAAAGTCAAAATATATATATTATTATTTCCCTTTGTTTGATATCCTTTGCATTGCATTTAAGTCAAATATAAACGTTTTATAATAATTCAATCAATATTTCATTTACTTTGTATTTTTTCTACTTAAACTAATTTGAACCACTTGATGTAATTTGCTTGTGTGGTCCAATTTTATTTGGAGTAGTTTCGGTTGTATTTAAAAAATTATAATATCATTTCAAACACGTATATTTCTGTCAGCAGATACATAATTTCGTTTCATGCACTACGTGATTTCGTAGAATGAAATTATTTTTTACAGTTTGTAACAAAAGGAAGTGATATGAGTCACGAAAATGCCGAATGAAATAAATTGTTTTAACAAAAAGAACTTAATTGCATTTTGTTAAACGTCTTTGTTTGGCGAAATTAGAAATTACTCTTTGGCAATTAAAAATCGCTTAGAACAATTTGTTACTTTTATTATCAAAGATTTTTGTGTTTGATGAATAACTTTAAAGTGAGTTTAAGAGGAGAAAACTAAGAATTTTCTAACTAGTTTAAATTTAACTCATCTATAAAATGAAAGTAATATTACGATGAGAAATAGAAGTGTTTTGGAAATAGTAAATGTAAACAAGTTTTTTTTATGTAAGCTAGTGCAGATATAAAATTGGATACTTTTAGTCGATATAATTTTATGAGAAATTCTAAAAATAAGTATTTTCAAAGCAGTTTAATTTATAAAATTAAAGATTTTATACTAAAAAATATTAATATTGGTGATTAATTAGTAGTTATTTTTGTAACTTTTTATCTTGTAATTAAATAATGAAAGTTAATTATTATAAGTAGGTTGATCATATTGATGTGGTTGTTGCAGGTAATTTCATCACGGGAAGTACTTTCTCCGGTTTGATAAGACTCGTGCTGCTGAACCTGTCGTACAATCGCATCGAAAAGCTGGATCCGACTTTCTTCCAAGACTTGTACACCCTGCAAATTCTGAACTTGGAGCATAACGCCTTAGAGACTATACCAGCGGACACGTTCGCCCCGATGAACAATCTGCACACGCTCATCATATCCTTCAACAAAATCACGTATTTGGACGCTTACTCCCTGAACGGCTTGTACGTTCTCTCGCTGCTGGCGCTCGATAATAATCTTCTCGAGGGCGTCCATCCTGAGGCGTTCAGGAACTGTTCTTCGCTGCAGGACCTGAATTTAAACGGAAACGTGTTGAGCGCCGTGCCGTTAGCTTTGAAAGACATGCGTCTCTTACGCACTGTGGATTTGGGAGAGAACGTGATCACGTCGCTCGAGGAACCGGGGTTCCGCGGTATGAGCAATCTCTACGGATTAAGGTTGATTGGTAATCGCATTCAGAACATTAGCAAACGCGTTTTTACCGATCTCCCGGCGCTGCAGATATTGAATTTGGCGAGGAACAAAGTGCAGAGGATCGAGCACGGAGCGTTCGCTTACAGTCCGAATTTGCAGGCGGTCAGATTGGACGCGAATCAGATGACCGATATGAACGGTCTGTTCGCCGATATTCCGAGCCTTTTGTGGTTGAACGTGTCCGATAACAACTTGGAATGGTTCGATTATTCGATGATACCGAGAGGATTGCAATGGTTGGATATGCATAAGAACAACGTGAAGGAATTGAGCAATCATTATAATTTAGATTTGGAGCTGCATCTGCAGACGTTGGATGCTAGTTTTAATAAATTGACTAAGATTAATTCGCCCGCGGTTCCGAGCAGTTTGGAATTGGTGTTCCTCAACGATAATTTGATTTCTTTGGTGGAGCCGCATACTTTCCTCAAGAAGACTAATTTGACTCGAGTGGATTTATACGCGAATCAAATTGTGAGCATGGATTTGAACGCGCTGCGTTTGACTCCCGTGGATCCGGAGAAGCCTCTACCCGAGTTTTATATTGGTGGGAATCCGTTTCAGTGCGATTGCAAGATGGAGTGGCTGCAGAGGATTAACAAATTGGACCATCTGCGGCAGCATCCGCGCGTCATGGATTTGGAGAGCATCTACTGCAAGTTGTTGTATAATAGAGATACCAATTACTTGCCTCTAGTGGAAGCCGAATCCAATCAGTTTCTGTGTACCTATAAAACGCATTGTTTCGCCGTGTGCCACTGCTGCGATTTCGATGCTTGTGATTGCGAGATGACTTGTCCGACGAATTGCACTTGCTACCATGATCAATCTTGGTCCGCAAATGTAGTTGAATGCTCCGGCGTTGGATACACCGAGATGCCGAGTAGAATCCCGATGGATGCGACTGAAGTGTATTTGGATGGAAATAACTTTGGAGAGTTATCTAGTCATTCCTTTATAGGCCGCAAGAATTTGAAGGTGTTGTATGCTAATAGCTCGAATATAGCTGCAATTTACAACCACACATTCAGCGGTTTGCGGAGACTTATTATGCTGCATTTGGAGAATAATCGGATCAAGGAGTTGCTCGGATTTGAACTAGCTACGCTAGAGAACTTGAGAGAGTTGTACTTGCAAGGTAACCTCATACATTACATCGACAACAGGACGTTTATCGAGCTGAAGCATTTGGAAGTGCTCAGGTTGGATGGGAATCGGTTGAGTTACTTTGCGGTTTGGCAGTTTACTCTGAATCCGTATTTGGTGGAGATAGGGCTAGGAGAGAACCAGTGGTCCTGTGAGTGCGAGTACGTGCAGAAGTACAGGTCGTGGTTGCAGGTCAATTATGGGAAAGTCGTGGACGCTGGGAAGATCGTGTGCATGTATAGCAACATCACCAAAGCCCTTGGGCCGCATTTAGCTGATTTCAATGCGACTTCCTGCGCCGCCTACACGAGTAATACGCGTGCGGTAGTCGAGAGTCAAGTGATGAATGATTATCTGCCCTTGCTGCTCGTCACCATGTGCCTTTTCCTGGTGAGCGTCGTCATCGTCTGCGGCGGATTCTATTACCGTCGCGAGTTAAGAGTTTGGATTTATTCGCGCTGCGGATTGAGGATGTGCTACAAGACCACCGCCTTCGAGGAACAGCAAGACAAGGATCGTCTCTTCGACGCCTATATCAGTTACAGCGTGAAAGACGAGGCGTTCGTGAGTCAGGTGCTCACACCCGGCCTAGAGGGCTCCGAACAAGGCTACCGCCTTTGCCTGCACTATCGAGATTTCAATGTATCCGCCTACGTCGCGGATACCATCATCGAGGCCGTCGAGTCTTCGCGTCGCACCATCATCGTGCTTTCCAAGAACTTCCTGCACAACGAGTGGTGCCGTTTCGAGTTTAAATCGGCGCTGCACGAGGTGCTCAAAGATCGCAGGCGGAGGTTGATCTTCGTCGTCACCGGAGAGCTACCGCAACGCGATTTGGATCCTGATCTAAGGCTTTACCTCAAAACCAATACCGTAATCGAGTGGGGTGATCGTCAGTTCTGGCAGAAGTTACAATTCGCTATGCCCGATGTGAAGAGGCCTTGTCTTCATCAGAGATCCTCGGTTAACATCTACGCTTCAACCACCCACCATCTCGGAATGGACAGGGCGCGGAGTCCAGTTCTACCGCCGCCTCCTCCACCAGGAAAACTGCCGCCCTTTCTTCAGCACCCGCCCAGCCTTCCCAGGGACACCAGAAACATGCCCCATCCATTATGGGCGTAGCGGATATTTTACCACAGGTAATTACATTTTTCAATTATTAAAACATACTTTCTTATAAGATTATTGAAAAATTAATGAAAAATCTCAATACAAATGTCCTATACATCAAAAATTACTATTAAATAATACGTCATGATCAAATTAAGAAGATGAAACTGATATTATAATCGTATGTGACAAAGCTTGTTACTTTGCGTATTTTTTTGATTGACATTAAACATTTACATTTAGTACAAAGGGCGGTATACAATTATGTTCCCTTTTTCACAAAAAAAAGTGCAGTAGGATTACAATTCCTTTGTGAAAGAAGACGATTTGAAATTGAAATTTTAAACGTATGTGACAGAGCTTGTTAGACAACTAGAGATAGCTCGTACATCCAACTATTTTGGTTCAGGTTTTTTTTTTCTGTCTCTCTGTTCTTTCTTTCCACTCGCATTGTATTTGGTATTGTATCTGTCCCCTCCGGTCCCATTGATCCCTCGGGTTGTCCCCAATTGTTGTCCGAGGCCGGAGCCGGCGGTCACCTGGCCGTGAAATTGCAAAACAGTACGGGCGATCCTCTAGCATCGTGCACGAAATAAGAAGAAACAGGATGCGGATAATTCCCCCATTGTAACCGATCCCTGGGACCTCTCGAAAGGCGAATTCGGCGTCAGCTGTCGCATTCCAATTTCGCGGGATCCGCAATTAAACAAGCAGCCGGCGCAATTAATAACAATTAAAAGGAGCTCGGAAGCGTGGAAGGAATAGGTTCGAAAGGGCGAAGCCAGAAAGTAAAGTAAATATATGGGAGACAAACATGACATGTTTGCTGAGCACTGGAGATGTGTAAAGAGAGAGAGAGAGAGAGGATGCGTGCATGATGGTGCGTCTGTTTGCGCGCAAACGGAGTGTTTGCCGAGAAGAAGTGCTTGGCTTCTCCCCGTCGACGATGATGAGGATGACAGGCTTCCTTCCTCCGAGCCCGATGTCAACCGATATTTTCTCATGCAGGGGACCTTTCCGTCCATCTTCATCTCTCTTTCTCTCCGTCACTCTCCTACACACGTGAGATATCCCTTTGCCTCCGGCCCTCTGCCAGCCTCACTTAAATCGAAACCTTTGTCCCTTTCGTTCGCGACGTCCCTTTTCACCATCCATCCCGCTCCTGCCCACGGCCGCAGACAATGACAGCGCGTACCACCGCTTCTCCTCCTATCCTTTTAGAGCACAATGGTCCCTAGTTAGTAGGACCCCATTCATGCACCTTCCCGACCTCTAAAAGGACAATACGACATTACCGACACTTTACAAACGCTTTGATTTAATACCAGTCGGTGAAAGAACTAGCGAAATTTATTCTAAAACCATCATCCCCCGAAGAATAAGACCTCTCCATTCAATAAGACGCACGGACATTTCCATTAAGTTTAATGTTACGCACTTAAAGTGAATGAACAAAAAAAAAACTAGTTCAAGAACATCCCAGGAAATTCTATTGATACAATCACCCATCAATCAAAATGTTGCATATCCAACAATATACTTTTTTTTTTCCAACTACACATTTCAATACGACCAATACAAATTATAAAGCATTCCTGAAAACATTTTTTTAAAGAAATTTGACTCCTACTGACATGCTCATGTCTACTCTAAATGGAGGTTGTCAATTATAACTAACATCTGTTCTTAATTTTATTATTAAACTAATTTAGTTAGTTTTTCATAATAGAATCAAAACCTTTTGAGTAATTTTTCATATTTTTCAATATTCTACTATTTCTAATATGAATTTTTCAAATGAAACTTGAACAAACCTTTCATAAATAACATTGATATCAGCGGAAAAGTTGAAACGAAAACGGCCACGTGTATATACTTTTTTTTTTAATAAATTCTGTATAGTCGTGCTCAGGAAACAAAATGAACTTTGTCGCATTCGACCCTTGTATTTGGTTGCGAACATGATTCCAATTAAAACGTATGCAAACTGCACACACGGTGAGGATCAAATATTTACATTGGACAAATCCCTTTCGGATCCGGCTATGAAAAAATAATAAAATAAAAATATGTTCCTGCATGTGTATATATGTATAGGGTAGAAAAAGAGAGAGAGAAAACAATATAAAAAAAGGTATGATCGAAAAGTATTTGGGGGAGGCATTTTGAATGGACGAAATTCATAGGGTTTAAATCAAACGGTGCTAGCTTTATACACTCTTTTTTTGCACACCCGTCGTGAAGGGTTAGAAAACTTTGATTTTTTTTTCTGTGACAAAATATTAGTGATTTGAACAAAATATTTTTATTGTCACAAACAGTATTTTTATGTAAAATGTATCAAAAAATGTCACCTGCAAATTATTTAAATCTTGCTAGATTTTTTTAATTTTAAGACTTTGGAAAGAAATGTTCAATTTGTGGACAGAAACTGCATTGACAACTTAAATAATATCATTATTTACTGTTATGTGTCAAAAAATTTCACCTAAAAACATTTAAACCTTTTGTCAGCATTAAACATTTTTACGAATTTAGAGGAAACAATTTAAGGATTAAGACAAATTAATACACGGATGAAATTACTATATAGGAATGTTTCCAATTCTGGACAAAATGAAATAATTTCAGGACAAAGACTTTGGTACTGTCTTCTGCAATTGCATTCCTTGCTGTAATGTTTCCAGAATAGTTGGTACACTTAATAATCATTTAAGTCTCATGTCACGAATGGTCTGAATGCAGTGGAAAAGGTTGAACATTTTTGCAAAATACAGGTGGAAATGAAACAATTTGAGGACTAGAACAAATAAATTCACGAATGTGATACTGGACAAAATGAAATATTTTGAAGCCAAAGACTTTGTTTTACTATCTTCTACAATTACAAAATAGTTGGTACACCTGATAATCATTTCAGTGACATGTCAGGAACGTTCTGGATGCAACTGAAAGGGTTGAACATTTTTACGAATTCCGGGTGGAAATGAAACAATTTGAGGACTAGAACAAATAAATACACGGGTTTACCGACTTCGTGCAATTTTCCTCTTCATTGTTGCAGACGAAATTAGTTATTTAGCCGTTGTTTGGAGGCAGCCAACGGGTTAGAATGGGCGGAAAGATTGTGAGCGCTCCGAGGCGAGGCTTTTAATAACTTGCGAACAATTCCGAAGGCGCATAATTCTCAATTTTAATTACGCGACCGAATGAAGTGCCTTTCTAAATAATAAACTTCAGTTTGTTTTAATTAAAAGTCCCCTCGGAATCGAAGCGCCACGAACAAACGCAATCAGTAAAAGCTGAAACAATATTCCCGGATTCCTTACGACAATAATAACAACAACAACGACGACGACGAACGACGATTGCGGTCCTTCCTCCAGGGATAAATCCTTTTTTAATTGGAGCTTTTAACAGGTAGAAGGTCCATGATAAAAAGTGAAAAAAGAAGCGAATAAACAATGAGTCTAGCCTAGTTATTTCGTTTCGGTAATTGCCTTACACCTACGTTTTTAAAAAGCGATTAGTGGACCTAATGCGGGGCATCCGCTTCTTGTTAACACACTTGTCGTCCCTTCAACTGTGAGCGTGTGAAACGCACCGAAATATATAAAGGGACATTAAACGAAAGCGCAGCTGACGATTAACAAACAAACAAACTTGCTACTATTACTACACATTAAAAACAATCTTCGCGTACCGTGAAATTGGCTGCAATTTGGATTTCATAAACGGATTGTAATTGCATAATTCCATCGATCGTAATTTATGGTGCAGGGCGCAGAACGACACTGGTTATATTAAAAAAATAACTATAATATGTGCGTCGGGCTTTTGCAGCGAGGGCGCAAATAATAATAATCGCCGCAATTGGAATGTGAATAATGATCAAAGTGATTCAATCAAATCCGGTTGCGTGTGCATATAACGCACGCCAGGCCGCATTTCCATGCTCGTTTTTATTTTATTTTTATTTTTACCATGGAGAAGGATTGATTTGTGTAAAAAAATTGTGTATAAAAGGTTGAAGGAATAAGAGTTGCGCGCGTTCGCATCCCTTTGCTTACGCACTACGCGAGAGAGGAGAGCATTGATTTATGCCTTCCTCTGCAGAGGAGATAGAATCTCGTTCTGTAGAGGCGGCCGCTGTTTAAGGATAATTACTTTCTGGTTTTAAGAATAATTAGACAACAGCTACAGCCGGTCGGTCGCTCGGCGTTTCCTAATTACATACAAATTTATACAAATCGGTGTAATATGTACAGGCTACGATAAAACTTTGCAGACGCTGGAGTTGTTTGTTTTCTTTTTTTACTGAGTTAATGATAAACATAATGCAGATTGATATACAGAAATAATGAATTTTTATGTTTACCAAGTCTTATAAAAGTTTGGAAAATTTATTACGTAGAAAATTGGAATAACATGGAAATTTATGGTTTACTTTTACTATATATATTTCTTTATGAGAAAATGTTAAATTCACTGATTTTCTTTGATAAAATACTAAATATTCTGATAATTCTATTTGATACTTAAGAATGTTTAAAACTTGTATAAATAAAATTGAAGTAAAAAGTATTTCCTTACATAAGAAAAACTCAAATTATTCACATTTTCACTTTCAATTGAAAATTATGATTTTCAGTATCAAAATCCCGACTATATCAGAATGTCGACTGTATCAAAATCCCGACTATCAAATTCTCGACTATATCAAAATCCCGACAGTATCAAATTCCTGACTGTAACAAAATCCCGACTATTTCAAAATCCGGACTAGATCAAAATCCAGACAGTATTTTGATTGCCATAGTTTATTTATTGATATTATTTGTTTTCTTAGGATACTTCGCATTTCTTTTTATATTATTTCAAAAACATTTCTTATTCTTTAATGGCTTTACTAATCTCATAAAAATATGAATCAGATTAAGATTATTATAAATTACTTACTGAATCTTCAACGGTTTTGTTAATCTTACAAGGATAAGATTAAAATTAAAGATAATATAAAAAAAAAACA